CTCTCTCTCTCTCTCTCTCTCTCTCTCTCTCTCTCACTAATTACATAACTTCACGACTCATAAAATCATTGACGCATTTCTCTAGTGATAATCGCATTGAAGTCTTATCATTTGATTAGAGTATCGGATGATTACTATTTGCAATACAAGGAGTTTTTTAATTTGCTAATTAAAACATTTACAATAAACAATAAATTAATGTTTAAAAGCGATTCTATGAGTGCCTGTAAAAAACTAATAGTAAATAAGAAAATATGAATTTTTCGAAGTTAAACGATAACTTCGTGAATCCTATAGGAAATCATTGAAATTTACTTATCTTTCTCTAGCTGTAAATACCAAATTACAAATCTGTTTTTAAAAATTCTTTTTTTATAGAATACTTCTATTATCCCTTTACAAATTATACATTGGGACCATCTTGATAGTTCTTATAGTTTGACCAGTAACCGTGATTGAAAATGTACTACTACCCCTTTAGGTAATCAATGATTCATGGGAAATTATCGTTTAACTTCGAAAAATTCATATTAGTTTTACAAATGAAAGCTAAACTTTTTTGCTAACAAAACAAGACTAAAATCAATTGAAAAAACTAAAGTTCCTGATATAATAACACACATACTGTATATTGACCGGAAAAAAATGTGTGAATAAATAAATATTTAAATTAAGCACATATTAAAATCAATATATAAATAATTATAACAAATAAAAGTACAACGAAAGTGAGAGTAAAAATATCGGCAAAACAATTTGCATTGAATTGAAAACAAAATTAGAGTCAAATAGAAATCAATAAAAGGTGAGAGAAAAACACTAAACATTATTAAAATACCGAGGATTTACTGGGATATCGTCGACAATACAATAAAAATGCCTTTTAAAACACATAATTAAAATAAAATATTACAACAGAAAAAATCAATGGACTTTTGTTAACAATAAAACGAGCCATAAATGCATTAATTTTAATGACATTTATGGTAATAATGAAAAAATTTGCAATCATTTTCAACGGCTGTTTGTGTGTCAAAAGCATAACACAAAACACTACTGTATATACAAATGGATGAGATATTAATAGTTATAATAATAATTACTATTATTATTGAAAAAAAAAGATAAATAAATATGCAATTTGTGGCAAACCTTGAGCTAGAATTACAAATTCTGGCAAATAGTCGAGCGCTAAGTTCGCCAAATATGAGTCGTTCCGCTGAAGACACTGGCAATACGTGGGCACAAACCCGCGGCCGAGGTTCGGGTCATAGTTGAGGAGTTTAATGGTCAGTTTGAAGGCCATTTCCCGGGCGAACGGATTAAAGTATAGTTGCCGTAAATCGTCCTGAAATATGACCGAAAATATTATCATTAGGTCTTGTAATTCATGCCGTTTTGGCCATAAAATGATCAATGAATGGCTATTTTACCGCAAAATACTCCAAAACGTGTGGCTTAGAGTCGGAGAGTTTGTCCAATTCGTTGAGTACGGCGTCCATACGTTCGCCGTTGTCTTTGCTGTCCCGAAGTCGGAGCAGAATATTCTCCGAATNCAATAGTCAGGAGCCGAGCGCTATCGACTCGATGACACACAATCTGTTGACCGCATTTACGGGCATCGAGTCGTCGCCCACTCGACAACAGGCCGGGTATCTCAACGACTGCGAGCTATCAATGTTGAAGTTGGCCTCCAAACACCCGGTGCTGTTTCTGCGACAATTGCCAATGATTCCGGCACTACTTCGCGGCAAACTCTGTTCCGTGACATACGATGTGTTCAAATCCCGTAACTATTTATCCACTTTTAAGCGTCTGTTGAATATTCTTCGACTTCTGAAGCCATTCTTGTGGAACAAACAAGTGAAGGGTTTGAACGAATTGCTGTCGACGTATATCAGACTCTTTCACGACTACTGCCGCTACGGCGGCCGCGAACTGTTGCCGATGTTATCGCAGTTTCTGTTTCTCGTTGACGATTGGCTTAAATCGGACACCGAATCGGCCAAAGCCTGGATTAAAGCCAATCGAAAGCCTATTGTGTGAGTATTTATGTGATTTTTTAAATGTATTTTGTTGTATTATACACTGTTGTGAATGTCTTGTGTTTACCACCAATGATAATGCATTACGAATACGAATTGTATTGATATTTTGCAGAGACCTGTCGACTGTATTTCCGGAACAATCACTCTTCAAATCGCTTCTATCGGGTCTACCGTTTCAGACACAGAATCCGATGGGATTTAATGAGAAACACTATTCGGAGAATATTCTGCTCCGACTTCGGGACAGCAAAGACAACGGCGAACGTATGGACGCCGTACTCAACGAATTGGACAAACTCTCCGACTCTAAGCCACACGTTTTGGAGTATTTTGCGGTAAAATAGCCATTCATTTAGCATTTTATGGCCAAAACGGCGTGAATTACAAAACCTAATGATAATGTTTTCGGTCATATTTCAGGATGATTTACGGCAACTATACTTTAATCCGTTCGCCCGGGAAATGGCCTTCAAGCTGACCATTAAACTCCTGAACTACGACCCGAATCTCGGCCGCGGGTTTGTGCCCACATATTGCCAGTGTCTTCAGCGGAACGACTCGTATTTGGCAAACTTAGCGCTCGACTATTTGCCAGAATTTGTAATTCTAGCTCAAGGTTTGCCACAAATTGCATATTTATTTATCTTTTTTTTCAATAATAATAGTAATTATTATTATAACTATTAATATCTCATCCATTTGTATATACAGTAGTGTTTTGTGTTATGCTTTTGACACACAAACAGCCGTTGAAAATGATTGCAAATTTTTTNTTTTTTCAATAATAATAGTAATTATTATTATAACTATTAATATCTCATCCATTTGTATATACAGTAGTGTTTTGTGTTATGCTTTTGACACACAAACAGCCGTTGAAAATGATTGCAAATTTTTTCATTATTACCATAAATGTCATTATAATTAATACATTTATGGCTCGTTTTATTGTTAACAAAAGTCCATTGATTTTTTCTGTTGTAATATTTTATTTTTATTATGTGTTTTAAAAGGCATTTTTATTGTATTGTCGACGATATCCCAGTAAATCCTCAATCAATCAGTATTTTAATAATGTTTAGTGTTTTTCTCTCACCTCTTATTGATTTCTATTTGAATCTAATTTTGTTTTCATTTCAATGCAAATTGTTTTGCCGATATTTTTACTCTCACTTTCGCTGTACTTTTTAGATGTTTGTTATAATTATTTATGTATTGATTTTAATATGTGCTTAATTTAAATATTTATTTATTCACACATTTTTTACGGTCAATATATATTTGTGTGTTCTTAATAAGAACTTCTTATATCACTGATATAATATCAGGAACTTTAGTTTTTTCAATTGATTTTAGTCTTGTTTTGTTAGCAAAAAAAGTTTAGTTTTCATTTGTAAAACTAATATTTTCTTATTTACTATTAGTTTTTTACAGGCATTCATAGAATCGCTTTTAACCTTAATTTACTGTTTATTATAAACGTTTTAATTAGCAAATTAAAAAACTCCTTGTATTGCAAATAGTAATCATCCGATACTCTAATCAAATGATAAAACTTCAATGCGATTATCACTAGAGAAATGCGTCAATGATTTTATGAGTCGTGAAGTTATGTAATTAGAGAGAGAGAGAGAGAGAGAGAGAGAGAGACGTGTAGTAATTTTTAAAATGCTTTTTATTGATAAATTTTTTCTACCGGTTGTCCTGGTATTCAATGGTTAGCCCCGTATTTGGCAATTCGTGATATTAAGCATATTTCTACATGTTTTCTATATTTGTTTATTAGTTTAGATATTTTTTGCTTAAATATTATTCAATTATATAATGTTTATGCAAATCAAAGGGTAATTTGTTTTCAATGAAATGTTTTTATGTAAATTGAATTTAAATACAGTATATGTTTATTTATGATTATACAATGTATAGTCTTGTCTACAGTATTATCTCAATCAATGGGTTATTCACTCGTCTTTATGTTTAATTTAACGATAAAAACACAAACACTTTATATTATGTTTCATATAATCACTAGATTTTTCACTATAAATGTCTGATTTATACAAAAATAAATATACAAATCAAATATCACTTGACATTTGAACCGTATTTACGATTGATTTTAATGTCTATTAACTGTTATTTGTTTTGTATTGTCTTTCAGAGCACAGGTCTATCATATTGAAGAAGGCCTTCGAGATCGGGATTATGGGTAACACTAATGTAATCAACAATATTTGCGATTCGTTTGCGTTAATGAACGCACAGATCGGTGTCTGAAGAAGTCATACAACACTTCTATATGTGTGGCCGAGAGAGAGAGAGAGAGAGAGAGAGAGAGAGAGAGAGAGAGAGGTCTGAAATTACATGCCATGTATTAAATAAACAGAATTGAATAACAAGAACCCATTATTTAGCCGTTATATTGAATAGTGAATAACTTTTTATTGAATTGTCATTTATTAAAAATAAATACACTTTTCTATACCATCGATGCGTAACCATATTATCTCTGTTTTTTGTGTCAATACAACAAAACTATAAATACAATAATAAATTATTATTAAATTTATATAAAATATTTGTGTTTCTTATTTACATTTAAAACTACATTTATGTTTTGGCTTTGAATGCATTTTTAATAGACAGATAAGAATCGATCGATAGTTATAACAGAATATGTATTTATAATATTATTATTACTATTAACTTATATTTTTCATATATAATAATATTTAAATACATTATTTTTCTCTCCCTATATATCATTAGAAAAATACTTTAGTTTCCATAGAAATATGATTTTTATTCTTTGACTGAAATAATAAAAGATATGCCGAGAAAAAATATATACGATTACAGTATTATTATTAAAAGATAGTGTACTGCGAATAGTGTACTAATAAATGGGAAAATATAGTTTATTAACGATATGTAATGAATACAATTAATTAATTATAATTAATGTGTGTTTTAACAGCATTTATATACCAGTGAACTGTTTTTAACGGTAATATTTTATAATGATTTATATCGACAAATATTTCTTTAAATATATCGATATTTATTAAGTATTAGTGTTTTTTGTGTTTCGGTTATTAAGTATTGTTTTAATTAATGATTTTAAAAGTATAGGAAAAGAAAGTAATTAACGCTCAAAAAAGTTGATTTTAATTGCTGTTAAAAATAGCTTATGATATGATAACCAGTGATTGTAATCTCAAGGATTTTTATCGTTTTGCTTTTTGTTGTATTAGTATTACGTGTGTCTGATATACATAAGTGATAATTGTTGGTATATTTTCCTAATATATTGATTGGGAAAATAGTTTTAAAGCAATTAGTATTAAGTCATATCTAAAATATACAACAATTTCACATATAATTAATGGTTTGTTGAATAAATTATAAATTCAAATATAGATTTAATACTTAAATAAAATATATGTTTTGTCTAAACCTTTTTACAATAAATTTTACTGAAAAATAATATAATATTGTGTTTGCAATGAACACAAAGAAACACAATCAATAAATTACATGTGATTTTAACCGCAAAATCATTGTCAAAATATTTGAATAATTAATATTTATTTATTTAATAATAATTCAATAACACTTGGTATTATGTGAATCTACAATGCACTGTTAAAATGCATTGTTAACTATACTATATCACAGTTACTAAATTATTTTTGTAGTGAATATCGTATAAATGTCTGTGAAATGTGAATAAATAATGAAATAATAGATATTTCTAGAAAAAAATTATATTTTTCTAAATGTCATCCAATATATAGAGAATATCAACAAAAACTTTTATAAACCAACAAAAAGTACTCAAATTTATGCCAACAATAGAGAGAAAATTGAAAAATCATTTTTCAATTTTCATAATATTTAATCAAATATTAGTTTAATATTACAATTGATTTCAACAATAATTGATACTATTTTTATATATCATAAAAAATCATCGGAAATCTAACCATCATTGAAATACAAGCGCCGCCGCAGCGACAACAACACCTGATCCCTAAACTCAGGGTAAAATAACTCATATTTATTCATGACGGGTGAATCATAGAGCCAGTGATATTACATCAGTATTTAATACATGGTAAGTGCTATTGCAATACAGTTTAACATTAACTACACGTGTAATTAACAAACATACCATAAAAGTTGTGTTCAAGTTATAAAACTAATTCAAACAAAAAGTTAATATCGGAAAAAAGTAATACAAAGTAATTTATATCAGTATTAATCCACAAGTGATACACAGGGGGTACGGAAAGGGGGATATCCTATCTATCCGGGGCAGGTATGGGGGGCACCACTGGCGCATAGATTAGGCACTAATCCGTTTGGTATCACTACTGGTTGTACAGTGTGTTTGTGAAGAGACAATGCATTTGTGCAGCGAAAACATTGCGATACACTCTCTCTCTCACACTCTCTCCCATACACTCTGTGTAACACTTTTGTGTTGAATGCATTGCAAAGTCAGTGTGTTTTGTATGTCTGCGTCAGTGATTGAAAGTGCCTTTCGATCGCACATTGAGTTCACTAAATGTGATCGGATTTCCAGTTTTGTAATCACTTTTTATTACAGTTTGTAATCAACTCTTCATTAATACATAAACACAACGTATTATTCACTCCAAGTGTTCACTCGTTTTCTCATATGTTTTGTTGCGTTAATTGTGTTGTGATTTAAAACTCAATTTACGAATTGATATTCAATTCATTTGATAAACAATTTATTGTTTGTATTGTTTTACTAATTAGTCTATCATTTGGTTTACATTAATAGCCATTGATTTCAATCGTAAGTCCATTTCAGACATCGCTTTGTATATTGTCTTCAAATACCAAACCATTTGTTGTCTTAATTATTGTCTCATTTTGTGTACAAATTATTTGATTGAATGAAACAAAAGTTTGTTTTATTGTGTTTTCAATGACTCATTGTTTTGTTGTTTCGTTTCAGTAATGAATGGCTATTTTACCGCAAAATACTCCAAAACGTGTGGCTTAGAGTCGGAGAGTTTGTCCAATTCGTTGAGTACGGCGTCCATACGTTCGCCGTTGTCTTTGCTGTCCCGAAGTCGGAGCAGAATATTCTCCGAATAGTGTTTCTCATTAAATCCCATCGGATTCTGTGTCTGAAACGGTAGACCCGATAGAAGCGATTTGAAGAGTGATTGTTCCGGAAATACAGTCGACAGGTCTCTGCAAAATATCAATACAATTCGTATTCGTAATGCATTATCATTGGTGGTAAACACAAGACATTCACAACAGTGTATAATACAACAAAATACATTTAAAAAATCACATAAATACTCACACAATAGGCTTTCGATTGGCTTTAATCCAGGCTTTGGCCGATTCGGTGTCCGATTTAAGCCAATCGTCAACGAGAAACAGAAACTGCGATAACATCGGCAACAGTTCGCGGCCGCCGTAGCGGCAGTAGTCGTGAAAGAGTCTGATATACGTCGACAGCAATTCGTTCAAACCCTTCACTTGTTTGTTCCACAAGAATGGCTTCAGAAGTCGAAGAATATTCAACAGACGCTTAAAAGTGGATAAATAGTTACGGGATTTGAACACATCGTATGTCACGGAACAGAGTTTGCCGCGAAGTAGTGCCGGAATCATTGGCAATTGTCGCAGAAACAGCACCGGGTGTTTGGAGGCCAACTTCAACATTGATAGCTCGCAGTCGTTGAGATACCCGGCCTGTTGTCGAGTGGGCGACGACTCGATGCCCGTAAATGCGGTCAACAGATTGTGTGTCATCGAGTCGATAGCGCTCGGCTCCTGACTATTGATGGCGAAGTGCTGTTCGGTTATACGCGACGGCTGTTCAATGCTCGGTATCTGGAGGTAGAGTCGGAACAGCAGTTCGCCGGCGATGGATGACCGCTGGTCGCCGCCGCTGTCGTCCAACTGTTTCAACGTATTGACCACTAGTTTGATTTGATTGGAGCGCAGACAACAACTCTTGATCACCAATGGGACCCGTTTGCTGACATTTGCCTCTTCAATGACATAATCCAAGAGTCGTTTGATCTGTTTGTCGTCCAGTTTAAGGACGTCTTCGTATTCGGAGTGTTTCGGTTGATTGAGATCCCGACCGATCCAGAGTCGCGGCGACCCGAGACACGCCGTCAAAAAGTCCAACACTGCGGTGGCGTTCAAGTCGGCCAACCGGTGGTCATCGCTCAGCACACTCCTGATGCACGCGTTCAGCGTCTCGAAGCGCGTCTTATGGATCAATAGTGACAACAAATACAGATTATTCCTCGAGAACAGTAGCTGTGTCTCCAGCCGTGTGTTCGCCGACTCTTCGCACACCAATTCTGGCTCCAGTTTGTGGAACCGCTCCAGAAGTAGACCTTTGTTGGCGTCGACGCCTCCGCTGTCGCACTTGAGGATCAGTTGCGCCAATTGCTCGATGGTCTGCGTATGCGTTCGCTTTTTGGTCTTCTGCGGACCAGTTTTGGTCGGTTTCTTCTTCTGCGGCGGCGATCGCGTGATTGTCGTGAATCTGTTCATAATGTTAACGAGTGTCACGTTCTTCACGTCAGCGCAGTCTTTGATGGCCTTCTGAGCGGACAGTATGTCCTGTTTTAGGCCCAAACTCTTCGCGGAATCATTGGTAGCGAACGTAACGATGATATTAAATAGCGAATTGAATTCACCCCGATTTATGAGGTCAACGCATGCGCTCATTTGCGACCGAAATTCGACCAAAAATAGTTTCGTAAACTTCTTGGACGTCACCTTTCGGTCGAACAACTCTTGCGTCAATTCGCGCGACAGTTTCAACAGATACTGACCGCTGGTCTGCTTGTTGTCAATGAGATGGTGTCGGAGATCAGCCTTGAATGTCGAGTACTTGGCGTCAATGGCCGTCAATTTGTCGCTACCGCTCGCTTCGGTGTCCATCTTATCGGCGACCGCTTTGGCCGCCGACTCGTCGTCCTTCTTGTATCCCAAAATGGCGGCGAATCGGTAGCCATTCTTCACGCCACGCATCCACTGAACCTCAACCACGCGAAGTATCAGCGACTCGTCGGTCACACACTCTTTGACGCCATCGGCGTCTATATCGGAGGCGACGTCGAGAGCGCCGAACAGTCGATCCATTGACTCGACCGACAGTCCGAACGATTGAATGAACAAAACGAGTTGCGAGGGCTCGACCTCACGGAGCGCCGCGTCCATCAGGAATGGCGACGAACTCTTCATTAGCCGCAGTCGCAGCCAATCGGGTATCAGAAGTGCCTCTTCGCTGGTGTCCACGAGAAAGGCCTGCGGTTGGGGTTCGCAGAACCAAGTGTTCAGGAGTTGGTCGTACTCGTGGTGGCCCGACTCCGACGGCCCGAATGTCAGCAAAATAATCATCGCGTGAACAACACTGATGTGAAGAATGGCCGCCTCGTCGTTAGGCCACTGGACAAGTATGTGGTCCTGAGCGTCGGCCCAGGAGTAGGCCTCACGAGCGGGCCGTCTCTTTATCACCAAATGGGCCAAAAATATCTTCGACAACGAGTTCACGAATATATCGCGCAATGGTTTCTGTTGTAGAATGCAATTCGTAATCAACTGTCGATCGATGAGAATATGGGCGCAATCGATGGCCAATTCCATGGAACCCGTCTCGCCGTAGAGCGACAGGAACTGTATGTAATGGCAGATATAGTTGGGAACCGTTTCCACAAGAATGGCCGGTCGTAGAGATTCGGCCGCAGAGGAGCGTATGTACTCAAAGTTGGGATTCGCGGGCAATCGTTCCGACAGCCAAACGCCAACATCTGTAAACTGTAACGGCTTGTCGTCATTGGGTCCGACGGCGGCTGCGGTAGTCTCAGCGCTGGTCGTCATCACCAGCGACAGGGCTTTGGAAGCCAACTGTCGGGCCGACGACTGTTGGAAAGTGAGTCGTTTCATGAAGTACTCAATCAGCTCTCGGGCGCACTGAGACTGCGAGACAATAATTGTCTGCAAATGTGCGATCAGTTTCAACTGTTTGCGGCGTTTCTCTCGGCGTTTGCTTTTCTCAAACTTCGTGGCCGACGACGACGTCGACGCCCCGCCGGCGGTCGACTCGTAGGCCAACTGCGCCGGCAGTGACTCCTCTTCGCTGATCTGTCCCAACAAGAACTCGCACAGACACTGGACGGGAAGCATTCCGAAGTTGTTCTCATTGGACTCGACCAGTTCCACGAGCCACGGCATCGGCGCGGAGCTGGTCATCTGGTGGGCGGCGCTTCCCGTCTGTTTCTGTTGCCGTTGTATGATCTCCAACAAGAAGTCCGGCTGACGGGACTGACACAACAGGTGTCCCAACCGGAGCACTGTGTTTAGCTGTTTGAACTGCTCGAGTACGGCGGCCGGCGGTTTGCGGGCCGGCCCGAGCGGATCCATTGAGATCAGTTTGGACAGCAGCAGACTATTGGTCTCATTGATCTGCACTTTGGTCGACGCCGCGGCCAGATATGACTCAAACTGCAGGATCTGTTGCTTCTCGTATGCGCTGATCTGGAGCTCACGATTCACCAAATCGTCGCCCATTTTGGTCGGCGGCGGGAACTCGAAGTGATTGGTGATTGACATCTCGATAAGTACGCCGAGTGTCGGGTAGTTATCCCACGCCAGTAGACCGAACTGCGAGGGGTTATGCGCCGTCAGTATCAACAACTGGATCCACACTTTCCAGTAGAGGTCTCCGATGGCCATATTGGGCGGATCATAACCGGCGGGAAGCGATATGTTGTCCGGATGGCGGTATATGGCGTTCATCATCAGTAGCCGAAAGATATCTTTGTCGCGAATCATGAGCACCGGGTGTGCGATCGAGTCGTACTCCATGATAGTGGCCGCGCGTTTGATCAGCGCGTCCGACAGTTCCACCGCTTCGGCCGACGTCAACGGATTGTCTTTAGATGAGCCCATCGACAGCACCCGCACGAGTGTCTCCTCCAGTAGTGGCACTTCGGATGTCATTCGGAACATGAGATTCCGGTCGTTTTCCGGCGGCCACCCGTCGCGGCTGTAATAGTGTTCAGCGCTTTCCATAAATAGTACTTTATTTAAACTGTAAAATCAATTATCAATTCATTTAATCAATTAATAAATGCATTGAACGGATGATTGGTTGCGGCCATTAATGGCGCTGACATACCAGTGCAGGTATTCGCTACGATCCGGTCGGTACTGTTTAATGACAGCCTTCTGTAGCCAATAGACGGCTATTCGTTGGATGTTTGAGTTCTGCAACTGATAGTTGCGTAAAATCTCTGCGAAAATAAGACAATATTTCGTTTAAAACACGTAAATTAATGACCGCTAAATGGCAATACCTCTGCGGTCGGGCTTAATGGTGGACACGGCCTCCTTCACGGCCGGACTCAGACTCAGGAACATAATCATTGTCATCAAATCGGTGATAGAGACCACCGCCCGCTCCCTAATGGCAAAATCCGCCGGATCCAAGTCGGCAAAGGCCGGCCCCTCGTCGATGAGATACTGCGTGAACGTCACGAACGACATGTGCTCGTGTCGGAGGGCCCGCACGATCTCACGCAACAGACCGCGCAGTGTCTTCA